TTTCTTTCAAATAAAACCAGTTTTTGACTTGTGAATGAGTCAATGGAATTTCTTGCAATATTGAAAAAATACTGGCAATTATGTCCGCCTGGCATAAGCTACATGTTTTGGGCAACTGTGAAGTGACAGAATGTCCCACCATCATGGTTCTTATATTTTCAGATTTCAGAGAGTCTCCCCTCTTCATATATAGCAGAATATGTCTACTTCCAACTTGCTATGGTGAGATACATGTAAAAATAAGTAAGAATTTGGTAACACAGATTTTTTTTCTCATTGATATAAAACTTAATGTAAAATACAGGCACATAGAAGGACATGCAATGATGGCAAATCTGGATAGCCCAGATTGTCCTGAAAAAAACAAGATGTAGAATGTCCTGAAAAAAACAAGATATAGCATGTGTATGAGTTACTGCCTCAAGCGAGGGAGTTCAAGTCGGTGCGGCTTCTGCAGTGATGCGGGAGCTGTGCCGGTCCGTCGTGGTGAAGAGGGAGCTGAGCCAGAAAGCAAAGCTTTAAATTTACTCTTCCATCTACGTCCCAACCCTCACCTATGGTCATGAACTCTGGGTAGTAGTAAGAATGAGATCGCGGATACAAGTGGTGGACATGAGTTTCCTCCGTGGGGTGGCAGGGCTCAGCCTTAGAGATAGGGTGAGGAGCTCGGACATCCGGAGGGAGCTCGGAGTAGAGCTGCTACTCCTTCGCGTTGAAAGGGGTCAGTTGAGGTGGCTCGAGCATCTGATCAGGATGCCTCCTGGGCGCCTCCCGCTGGAGGTGTTCCGGGCACGTCCCACTGGTAGGAGAACAGGCTGGAGGGATTACATATCTGGTCTTGCCTGGGAACACCTTGGGGTCCCCCAGGAGGACCTGGAAAGTGTTGCTGGGGAGAGGGATGTCTGGGGTGCTTTGCTTGGCCTGCTGCCCCCGCGACCCGGCCCTGGATAAAGGATGAAAATGGATGGATGGATGGATGTAGCCTTTATAATGACTGTGATATGAGCTTAAAAGTAAAGGCAGTAAAGATACCCCAAAAAGGCCTAGGGCCCAAAGGGTTAAAGACATAAAAATCTGGATGAGCTCCAATTTCCTTTTGTTAAATTCAGACAAAACTGAAGTTATCGTTCTTTTTTTTTTAAATTTATTTTTTTTAAATTTTATATACTTTATTAATCCCCGAGGGGAAATTCAATTTTTCACTCTGTTGTCAATTACACACAGGTCCGAACACACACATGCACAAACTGGACCTATACATGCACTAAGTGGAGAGATGTCAGAGTGGGCTGCCCATGACAGGCGCTCTGAGCGGTTGGGGGGTTCGGTGCCTTACTCAGGTGCCCAGGAGGTGAACTGGCACCTCTCCAGCTACCAGTCCACGCTCCATATTTTTGGTCCGGACGGGGACTTGAACTGGCGACCCTCCGGTTCCCAACCCAAGCTACTGACTGAGCTACTGCCGCCCCCCAATGAGCTACTGCCGCCCCCAGAATAACTCGGCCCAACTTGGCCCCAAACAACTCAGAGACTCTTTATCTGATGACATATGTAGTTTCTCTGGATGGCATTGCTCTGGCCTCAAGCACTACTGTAAGAGACCTCGGAGTAATATTTGACCAAGATTTGTCTTTAACTCCCATTTAAAACAAACTTCATGGACTGCGATTTTTCATCTGCGTAATATTGCGAAAATTAGGCCTATCCTGACCCAAAAAGATACAGAAAAATTGGTTTTGTTACCTCTAGGCTGGATTACTGTAATTCCCTATTATCAGGTAGCTCTAATAAGTCTTTAAAAAACTCTCCAGCTAATTCAGAACATAGCGGCACGTGTACTGACTAAGAGGCGAGAACAAATTCCCCTGTTTTAGCTTCTCTGCATTGGCTCCCTGTAAAATCCAGAATTGAATTTAAAATCCTAGTCCTAACTTATAAAGCTCTAAATGGTCAGGCTCCGTCATATCTTAGAGAGCTCATAGTGCCATATTACCCCACCAGAACACTGCGCACTGAGAATGCAGGGTTACTCGTGGTCCCTAAAGTTACCAAAAGTAGATCAGGAGCCAGAGCCTTCAGCTATCAGGCTCCTCTCATGTAGAATCATCTTCCTGTTGTGATCCGCGAGGCAGACACCGTCTCCACATTTAAGACTAGACTTAAGACTTTCCTCTTTGATAAAGCTTATAGTTAGGGCTGGCTCAGGCTTGGCTTGTACCTAGTTAGGCTGATTTAGGCCTAGTCTGCCGGGGGACCTCCTATAATACACCTTTCACCTTCTCTCCTTCTCTCTCTCTCTCTTTCCCTTTTGCTAACACTCATGTCCTGTTACTTCATCTTGCTTACTCGGCCATACTGCATGTCCCTAACTCTGCTTCTTCTCCAGAGTCTTTGTGCTCCACTGTCTCGCAGGTTAACTTATATCGCAGCGGTGCCTGGATAGTGTGATGTGTACTGTACATGTATACTATCATATATTAATATATACTTTCAACGTATTGTACCACAATAGCTGTAATTATTATTATAATATATTACTTTCATTAATGTTGTTGTAAGCTACTGTCATTACTGTCTGTCCTGCATCTCTCTGTCTCTCTTTCTGTCTTATTCTGTCATACGGATTACTGTTAATTTATTATGTTGATCTGTTTTGTACGACATCTATTGCACGTCTGTCCTCGAAGAGGGATCCCTCCTCAGTTGCTCTTCCTGAAGTTTCTACCGTTTTTTTCCCCCGTTAAAGGGTTTTTTTTGGGGAGTTTTCCTTATCCGCTTTGAGGGTCCTAAGGACAGAGGGATGTCGTATGCTGTAAAGCCCTGTGAGGCAAACTGATTTGTGATATTGGGCTTTATAAATAAAATTGATTGATTGAACTGACATAGAGTAAGGCAAATATTATATCAATACCTTTGTCCATCTTTTAAATCTATATCTAGCTAAACACAGGTGAATTGAATTTAAAAGACTATTGACTGAAACACATCCCTTTACACCAACTTTGAGACTTTGAGAAAGCGTTTCACAGCTTAGACAGGAGAACACTATGGTGCCCCCCCTAAAGGGTTTTTTTGGGGGGAGTTTTTCCTTATCCGCTGCGAGGGTCATAAGGACAGAGGGATGTCGTATGCTGTAAAGCCCTGTGAGGCAAATTGTGATTTGTGATATTGGGCTTTATAAATAAAATTGATTGATTGATTGATTGAACATTGTGGGTGCTACAGGAGATTATGTCAGAAATTTCTGTAAAAGCAGAGAGGCAGAAGGGAGTCACCTAATCTGAGCAGCACGATACACACCCATGACACACCCATCAAAGGTCAGAAAACAGCATAAAAATTGAAGAGCTTAACATTTTTGAAATATTAATAGATTTTGTAGATAAGCGTATGTTGAATTAGTAGACCGAAAAAGTACAGAAGATGGAAATAGATCAGTAAAGCTTTGAATAACAATAGCATGAATGGTCAATTTCGCATTCACACTAACTGTAATAAAATAAAAAGGATACAAGTCAAAACACAACAACCCAAAATATAATTGCAAAAAAACAATTTCACAAATACATCCACAGAGACTGTGGCCATAACAGGCTACAGCTTCTATACACAGGACAGAGCAGATGTGTCTGTATTGAAGACATAAATATAATCTAATTAACAAACATATGAACTCATGGACATTGATATTTTAGCTGTTGATGACAAAAATAAAATCCATTTCTAGTTACTGATATTTTAATGATAATAATAAATCAGACATATATTGCTTTTCAGAGTCTTTCAAGACACTTTACATAGAGTAGCATAAATAACAGTTAATTGTTTATTAAATAAAATAAAATGAAATGAAATAAAAGACTAACCGGAGCTGTGGAGGAGCAAGAGATGGATCTGACTGAGAAGCAGAGGACACTATAGGCAGACAGCTTGTTACTCAAAATGGCCCTTCCTTAAATATGCTTAACTTTTGGTCTTAATAAAATGCACATGGGTGAGTTACAACAAAAAATTCTCTCTCTGTACAGTTGGCATAAATGTTGAAAGTAGCTACAGAGAACAAAACTGTTTTTTCTACCAGGCTGTGAACATGTTTATTTCTGTTGTAAAATTGGACATTTTAACATGGGGGTCAACGAGGATTGACTGGCCTCTGGAGCCGGCCTCAAGTGGACATGCAGAGGAACTGCAGTTTTTGGCACTTCTGCACTGGCTTCATTTCTCAGCCTCAGAGGTTGCCGCTTGGGACAAAAGCATATATATTTATATTCACAGTAACCACTGCCTCACTTTGTGGCTGATTAATCATGTACGACAGGCTTTTATTGAAATATTAAGCAGCTATTGAGATGTTATTTCATGAGGCTTGTTAAAAAGGTAAAGTTGTCATGACCCAAGTCTTGCTTAGTCCTAGATGTAATGTTCATTGTCAATTTGCACTTTACTACATTAAGGGTTATATTTAATGCTGGAAGAGGTTAATCTGGGAAATCCAAACAGGTTTAATTCCACACAGATAATAATAATATTGTATATCCACACAACAAACCACGAGATTCTGCACAAAGTCAAGGCAATTTAGGCAATGAAATAATCAAGAATATGAAATAATTATTTTTGTTTTGTTGTTGTTCAAGAGGTAGTTTGATATTTTTTTGGGAAATAATGATCAGAGCTAGATGAGATAATCAGTACCACTCTTTTGTTTGTATGTTAAAGATGTAGCTAGCCAGCAAGAGGGCAGCTTGACTAGATGGTACCTCATGCATTTGGGAGTTTGATGCATTGCTCAAAAGCACCCTGGTAGCATAAACATCAGTGGCGAGACAGGCGGCAACCTGGCATCTCCTCAGCCACCAATTTACACTCTGTAGTTGGTCCATACAGGGACTTGAACCCTCTGGCTCTTAAGCCTTGTCCCAACAGACTCCACTACTGCAACCCAGTATGAACATGAACATATTAGCGTACTGAAGTAATACAATCCTGTGTCTCCCTAGACCTTTGCCCCGAAGCTGGTGATCCTGGACTTCAGCGATTTGGATAGCATGGAGGATGTCGTGGCTGAGGTAGTGGAGTGTTACAGATGTGTGGATGTGTTGATCTGCAACAGCAGCATGAAGCTGAAAGCCCCGGTGCAGAGTGTCTCCCTGGAACTGGACAGAAACATCATGGACATTAACTACTTTGGCCCCAGCACTTTGGTCAAAGGTGGGCTGGACATTGCTGAGAAAATCATCACCAAATAGGCTACCACTACTATTTCTATGATGTTGGTTTTTAGTGATTTTTTTCATCTGAATGCTAATATGTTCACATAATGTGGCAGGTGTTCTTCCAACAATGATGTCAAGAAGATCGGGACACATTGTTTTGGTCAACAGCATCCAGGGAAGACTGGCTATCCCATTCAGAAGTTCATGTGAGCTGCCCATAAAAGTCTCTATGAGCTTTTCTCAACCATTTTAAAGGGTTCCCTCACCAAAATCCCTAAAAAGATATTAATGCACTTTCCCCTTATGGTAACATTAGACATACATACAATTGCCAAAAACTGTAGTCAAGTATATAGAAATAAAATTCTACCAACTTACTGAGATTTTAAAAATATACATGTGTATTTCAGGGGTGAGTATTAAGTATGGAGCTTTTTTCCTATCTTTATTCAAGTGGTATATCAATTTGAAAGCATTATTTATTGATTTCTTGTTCAGATTTTGGAATATTGTCCCTCAGAACCCAGCCCTCGCACTCAAATAGCCTCTGCTTGCGCTTAGATCTACTCTGTTTCTGCTCAAACTGTGTGCTCGCACTCAGACACAATGTTGCTTGCACAGATTTCCTGCTCCAGCTTCAGCTCTTCTCCTTGCCCTCAAGCTGCTTCTGTGTGCTCTGGAATTTCTGCTCTCAGATTTCTGCCTTGCGATTGGATTTTTTTGTGTAACAACCCTGTTAAAATCCCCCAACCAACAGAACGCCAGGTTTATTGTTGACCAATGAAATGATCCCTGCCTCCTTGCGGGCATGCCTTAGTTTTAGAGCGTCCCGTCTGGGCAGGTACTCTTTAGCCAGGTTCACTCCACACCAGGGCTTTATTAAATGTTCTTCCCTTGCTTTCTTTATGACTTTTGGAATAAAGGGACTGTTAATTTACACACATGCGCCCGTATTTTTTACTAAAATAGCCCCATAGAATATACATATATACATATATATATATATATATATATATACAGTACAGGCCAAAAGTTTGGACACACCTTCTCATTCAATGCGTTTTCTTTATTTTCATGACTATTTACATTGTAGATTCTCACTGAAGGCATCAAAACT